CTCTGCAGCTACTGGTATGCCTTGCATATCATTATGCTCCAACTCACAAACAAATATCTAAGTTGTAATAAATGAATGGCTATTATTCCAGTTTTCTAGAAAATATTTTAAAGTACACTATACTTTTTAAAAATAATTTGAGGGCCTCCCTGGTGGTGCAAGGAGTTAAGCACCACACTATGAATCAATCCGCAGTCTCTGCAGCATGAGTTTGATTTCAGGCAGGCCAGGGAGGTAACCCACATGGCGCAGCAGACCTCTCCTGACTTGCCTGCTGCTACCCTCAGCAGTGTACTTCAGTCAATCTGTCTATTCTGTTCCCCACTGTCTCTGGTGAATCCTCTCACCCCCCACATCTCTGGCCTGTACCCCAGCTCTTGTATGCATAAATAAATAAATCTTTAAAAAAAAAATTGAAACAAATTGGGCCAAATAAGAACTCGGGCCAAATAAGAATTTGCTTGGGCCAAATAAGAACTTACTATGCTATTTTTTATACTTTCTGTTATGTTTTTAAATGTAAACAAACACAACAAGAAAAAGTAGGTGTTGTAATAACTTTTTAAGGTAAAAGAAAGCTTTAGTGATTTTGAAAGTTCAGTTTTCAGCTCAAAAAGCTTCACCGAGTGATAGACACGTTTTCAGGATAAAGAGGCTGTAGAGATCCGAGCAAGGTTTAATGAAAAGACATCTGGACATATTCTGGAGAAATTTTTTTAAGGACAAATGAAAAAATTTCTTCAATCTTTCTTAAAAACAAAGCAACTAACTTAAAAACAGGAAAGAACCCACCTAACATCAGACTTCTCATCTGTAACACGGGGTGACAATGACACTGTTTATACACATGTAAAAGAAAAGAAGGACAACCCAAGGCCACATGACTGAAAAACATGAGGGGAAAAACATTTTTGGAAACAAACCCTAATACAAACTCTGGCTCTAAGAAAGCATCCTAATCAAATACAAATTAAACAGGAACAAAGCTCTCAGGGGAAAGAGAAAGAGAATATGAATTCAGGCTGAGCAGTACTTTCTATGAAATGAGATTAAATATATGATAATGTAGTTGTTAAAGTACATGACATAAATGTGAGTAGTGATAAGTATAAAAAGCTTTGATTCTTTAAACTATAGAAGTATGCTGCAAAAAAATTTTAAAAATTAAGTCAATAAACCCCAGACTTTTAAAGGAAGAAACTGGGAAAATGCTAAGAACACAAGAGTATTTTAAATGCCCTACATCAATTTGGAAGAGTGTGTGAAGCCTCAGAATGGTAGCAAAGTTTAGTTGGGAAAGGAAGTCTAATATGACCATTAATTTTGGTTTATTTATAAAAAAATATAGTTTGATCTATGGCTGTTATAAACAGGACAATGAACACATGCAAAATGTAATTAATTGAACAAATTACTAAGAGTAAAGAAGATTTTTCAAATTCTCATAAACCTAGTAAAAGTACAGAAGGAGAAAACAGAAAACAAGATATCAAAAAATATAATGGAAGAGGGTGGAAATAAAATGAAAGACATAAGCAGTGACCACAACGGTTAGGTCCAGTTGGAGATACAGATCCAGAGGAGTAATGAAGGGACATCTAAGCAGAATGTTAGGCTGGGACACTGTGGGCTGGGGAGCCATTGGAGGTCTGGGGGAGAGGAATCCTGGTGGAGAAGGACTTGAGAAAGTTTCCATCATCCTTGAGGATTTGAGAGAAACTTGAGAGGATAAAGAAAGACAATGCCCACATGCAACACAGATGCTGATCTCCCATGAACGAGCTGAAAGTCAAATATAATCTAAATACAAACATGAGTGGGGTCTTTCTTAGAGCTTTACAAAATATTTAACCTTCATTTAAAAGGATGATCGTTCAAGAATAGGCTGAAAGTTATCCTTACTCTCGAGTGTGCTGGCTGCTTCTGTATGACTTTATGTGTGTATGTAAACACGTGTCCTGCTATAAGCACAACAGTAAGGACTAGACACAGGACAAGACACAGGCAAATTAAAGTGCTTCAATATACCAGATTATGCACTTAACAGATATTAGAACAGAAAGAACACTTAACAGATATTAAGTCGACATCACTTTCTCAATAACTTTATAACTTTGGGGTGTACCATAACTTTCTGTGCACCATTAAAGTTGGCAACAATAAAGAAAAAGATCAAAAGATAGGATTACATAAAATTTAGCATATCTAAAGGAAGAAAAAAACTAATTAAGGTTAAGACACCTATGGAAAACTGGAGTTATGTGCGCTACATAACATCAGCAAAGATTGATGCTCTTACCATCTATTATCACAGATCTATTACAAATCAATAACAAAAACAATCCAAGGGAAAAGTGAGAAAAGATGAAGAGGGACATCGGATATAAATGTAAAAAATATATGGAAATATTCTCATCAGTAAACAATTATAAATCAATATAAATGTGTTATTATTTATTTCAATTCTAAATCTTGAAAGAATTATAAATAACCAGTGTTGGCAAGACTCTGGGAGAAAGAAATTACAGTGCCGTGTTGGCAGGAATATGAATTAGCATAATTCTTATGTAGGATAATTTGGAAAATTAGATATTACATACACATATATACTATATCACACATCTTTCAATGCAGCAATTTATCATCTAGAATAAATCCAAAGTAAAAGGAGATTGATTGTAGCATTAATTAGTATATGGAAAAACTAAAAATAAATGTTATACCATTGATTATATAAGTCATGGGATATCTTTGCAGTGCACTGGTTTATAGCTATTAAAAACTATTTTGATACAGTACCAATGATATAGATGTCAATAAGAAGACAAAAAACAAGTAATCCATGGCCCCAAGTATAACATGACCCATTGCTGTTGAATAGCACTGATCAGAGAAGAAACTCAGACTAAAACTCTACCAAATAGGAGAAATAAAAAGAACTTATTAAATTATTAATTGGAAACATAGAACTAGGAAGATCAGTCATAAAGATAGAGAAAAGAAGACAAAAAAGCAAGAACAGAAAAAAGGTATGGCTATAGTATCTCTTATCCTCTTTGTGCCCTGGTGAAGTAAAGACTAAAATGGGAATTCAGACATGCAGGGTCAGGTGCTCAAGGTAGCACAACGCATCATCAGCTCCAGGTGGCTCTAGCAAAGGTCTAACTTTTCTTCTGGTAATGGAATTGCAGAAAGAAGCTACAAGATGCAAAGTAATGTAAAGGTGTGGAAACCATATGTGCTCTAGCCAGGGCCTCTTGAGAAGTTCTGGGTAGGAGTTAGGAAAGATGTTACCTTGTAAAAAGCACAAGAGTTTAGAATTTGATGGAAGAATTTAAGGAATGCATCAAAGTAGTATTAGCCATATGTTGGGAAGAGCTCTTAGGTATGGGTTGGAGCACATTTCCATCAGCCCACCCCATCCATACTTGCACTGCTTGCCACCTGGAAGAGCTCAAGATTCCAGGATTGAGAAAAGGTAGGAACTCATTCCAATGGCATGCATAAGTGATGCTGGGTTGAACCATTGTAACAGCCATGAGTACAGAGGCCAAATTCTAAGAGTAAATGACCAAGTGCTAGTAGCTATTACTTCCAGATGTTGAAATCACAGATAATGTTCTTTCTTTTATGTTTATGTATCTTTCTCAATTATCTTTTCCCTACTTTGTGGGAAAGAAAAGGTGGTCTAGATTATGGGAAAATCACAAAAGAGGGCCTCCCCTGGTGGCGCAGGTGGTTGAGTGCTGCACTGTGAATCTGTCTGCAGCCTCTGCAGCGCGGGTTCACTCCAGGCCGGAGGGCAAGGGTCCCACATGGCGCGGCAGACCTCTCCTGACTCACCCGCTGCTCCCCTCAGCAGCGTATTTCATCAGTCTGCCTGTTCTGTTGCTTGCTCTGTCTCTGGTGAATCCTCTCACCCTCCTGTGCTTCTGGCCTGTACCCCGGTTCTTGTATAAATGAATAAATAAATCTTTAAAAACAAAATAAACAAAACACAAAAAAACTTGATCTGGATTCTACCTTCATCTATGTCTGTTCCTATCTTCATACATCCTGTGTATATATATTTTTTCCTAAACTATAGAATCCTAAGTGCAAGGCTATATCATATTTATCTTGCTGAGTATGCAAATAAGTAAATGAATCTATGAATTAATGAAATGACTTTTCATATAGGAACAAAGAAATTAATAATATCTCATAAATGCTCTGATTGGCCTAATGTCACAAGCCCATTATACTTTCCAATACTATGTGAGAGTAGCTGGTTTTCTTAATGATAATGATATCTAACTGGAGAGATAGATCAGGCTGAGATAAATAATCAAAACCATATTTGCATGACTTTACTCACAACAAAAAATAAATGAAGCATAGCCAGTGTGGGGGCAATGACTTACAGAAACAAGAATGATGTCTCCAGAGGATCCTAAACAAGAGCATTATTTGCCTTTCAAAAAGATCCTTCAGGGGCCTCCCTGGTGGCACAGTGGCAGACCTCTCCTGCCGCGCCCGCTGCTCCCCTCAGCAGTGTACTTTGTCAGTCTGCTTGTTCTGCTCCCCGCTCTGGCTCTGGTGAATTCTCTCACCCTCCCACGCTTCTGACTGTACCCAGTGCTTGTATAAATAAATAAGTAAATCTTTAAAAAAAAAGTTCTGAGCCTCCCCTGGTGGCGCAGCGGATGAGCACTGGGCTGCGAAGCTGCCCGCAGCCTCTGCAGTACCAGTTCGATCCCGGGCGAGGTATCCCAAAGGTCCCACATGTCATGCAGACCTCTCCTGCCACACCCAATGCTCCCCTCAGCAGTGTACTTCATCGGTCTGCCTGTTCTGTTTTCCGCTCTGGCTCTGGTGAATTCTCTCACCCTCCCACACTTCTGACTGTACCCAGTGCTTGTATAAATAAATAAATAAATCTTTTTTTTTTTTTTAAAAAAAAAAAAGATCCTTCATTGTAATACAAAATCCTCTTAAGAATTATGCTAAATGAGCTCTTTCCACCATCTTGGTCGCTGTGGAGGCCTGCTGGGAACAGGACTTCTAAAATATGGCTGGAAGGCTATGGTCCAAGGCCATTTTTGCTGGCTACAAGCGGGGTCTCCGGAACCAGAGGGAGCATACAGCTCTTCTTAAAATTGAAGGTGTTTATGCCCGAGATGAAACAGAATTCTATCTAGGCAAGAGATGTGCTTATGTGTACAAAGCAAAGAACAACACAGTGACTCCTGGTGGCAAACCGAATAAAACTAGAGTAATCTGGGGAAAAGTGACACGTGCCCATGGAAACAGTGGCATGGTTCGCGCAAAATTCCGAAGCAACCTTCCAGCTAAGGCCATAGGACACAGAATCCGTGTGATGCTGTACCCCTCAAGGATTTAAATATACTGAAAGCCCAATAAAAGTGGATTTGTTCTTGTAAAAAAAAAAAAAAGAATTATGCTAAATGAAATGTCAAAAGAGAAAAGATGAATATAGGATGATTTCACTCATGTTATATAGAGGGAAAAAAATGAAGGAATAGACCAAAACTAACCCTAGATATCTAACTGTAGAATTGAGGCTACCAGATGGGGAGGATGGAACATCGAGAGCAAAGTGTGGAGGGCCCAGTGGACTGTGGTTGAGGACTGTGGGTGTTTGATGGTGGGTGTGGTATGCTAACATACATCTGAAGAGATGTGAATGTTTACCTCTTAATCATACAATGTATTTTAACCAATATTACCTCAGTGAAAAATAATATAATTAAAAATAAATTAAAATACTTAAAAATATAAAATATCTTCCTAAAAAGACAGTTCATTCAAAAGTTTGTAGATTTTTCAGTAATAACAAAAGCACCTGAAATACAGGGGATACCAATTGCACAAATCAAAAATGCAAATAAAGCTTCTCTAAAATTATCAAATCATTTAGTAGGAAAACAGAAAATGATTTACTAATGCAACCCCTTTTGAGAGCTAGTGTATGATCTGCTTGAGAAATAAAAATATAAAACCAAGAGCACAAACATTCAAAACCTCTTATATGTGATATAGGATTAAAAATAGGACTGGGGGAAAATCATCTAGCAAGTAGATCCTTGGAAATACAGTCTCTACCTGGTATTACTTCAAAAAAAATGATATAATTTGTGTTAATAAAGTGCTCCTCTGAAATCTTGAATATTTATTTCATCAATGCAGCATATATTAAATTATTAAGGTCCTAGTTTCCGGTTTAAGGAAATGTACCCTGCTACCCAACTCTGCTCTTTGTTATGGAGGGGAGCACTTTCTCTAGTCTACCTGCAAGCTGGCCATCACTTCTCTGCAAACATCTTGATTTAACTTCTGCAATCATCTCAAATGATTCCAATAGTACTTCTTAAATTCAAAGGGTGATTAGGACTAACTTTTAAATAAAACCAGGGGAAAAAATTAAACAAAACCAACCAAACACCAAAGTTAGGTTGGTGCTACGCAAACTGATTTAAATTTGTAGGCCCCCAAAATGTCTTTGAGATGGAAATATCCAATAATTATAATAATTTCTTGTCAATTGTATATTCAAAACAGCAACAACAAATGTGTATTTTGTGCTAGTCACTACACTAAGCACTTGACCTGTGTTTATTCATTTTGTTCTGACCAAAACACTTTGAGATTAAGATGCTGTTACCATCATCATCATCATCTCCATGTTACAGATAAAGAGAATGAGCCACATTGATATTATGAAACTTGCCTAAGGTCACATATTAAGTGAATTTGAACCCAGTTAGTCTAGATATGGCACCCATATTTAAGTAATATCAAGTAATACTCAACCATATCAACACATTACAAACACATGGGCAGGTTTTTAAACTCCTGACACCATATGGCACCAGATACATAGAGTTTCTGAGGGTGATTTACAGGCAGTAAGAAAATGTAAAGCTCCCCAGGAAGATCCAATGTGCAGACAAGTGTGACATCCACAGCAGAGTGCCATACTGCTCTGATGATTACCAGACTAACCTTAATTCTTATGTGGCACCATTTAATACATTTTGATGTGAAAATTGACATAACATTGAAACACTGTCTATAAAACATATATTAAGTTGCTAACTGATTGGAGGACTGGTGATTACCTTAGAGACTGGAAACCACTGTTTTCTTAAAATAGAGTTCCTGTCCCCCAATTTAAGAGATATCAAATTTCCCAGGCCTACATATACTTCCTCCCAAAGAGGGGAGGGGCTTATATTAAAAGAGCACAGGTGCAGATATAGACTGGGTTATGTTAGCACTAGTGGGGACTGATGATGCTGCCCTTAGCCAGAGACCATTCTCTCTTTAAATGCTTCTTTACATCCACCTGTTCTTTACACATGTACATGTATATGTACAAATGTACACACAGGCTCATTTTTGTATACATGTCTTATGCTTGTGTGTATATATGTTTATATATGATAATTATGTGTGTGTGCGAGTGTGTGTGTACCTCAGAGTGTGATTCCTGTGAAGTCCACTAAGCATGGAAGCTGGCTTTGCCTTGTCATGATGTGCCTCCATAGACTTGAGCTTTGGTTTAAGGCTCAGCAGACATAACCACAGCAAGCAGTGATGTTTCTGAAATCCACCTTGTGTTACCTTTACTGAGCTACCCTCAGAATCACTGCTTGAAAGGCTCAGGGGGGCTTAGGGCCTGCCAGAGACAGGGTGGTCAGAAGCTCCCCCCAGCAGCACCACCAGTAAGATCAACACATCAAACCACAATCCTAGATGAGGAGCAGGCAATATGCCAGTCTCAGCAATGAATGTAAAAAGAAAAAGAAAATCAGCACTAAGAATTCATTACAATAAATCAAAACTTATACAAGTTTGCAGCACAAATTCATACAACAAGCAAAATCCCCCAAAACCCTAAATTAGAAATTTTCATGTTACGCATAGTTGATAATATCTCAGACATATGGCAGAAGCAATCTTAAATGTTTTCTGGGAGAAATCTGTAACTTAGACCTGGAGAATCTCCACAAAGTGAGTAGAAAAGCGAGTAACTCAGTTAAAAAGGAATTAATTAGTTAATTCACACACTCACACACATACACACACAAACCTAGAAAGCAAGGCACAATGAGTAACTAATTGTGTAGAGTAGAATCAGAATGAGATTCACAAAGACTTCAATTACTGGAATTATCAAATTCAAAACATAAGATACTATATTTTACTATATTTCAAAACATAAGATACTATATTTCATGTGCTTACAGCCAATAGACTAGAAATTTGAAATAAAAACAACCAAGCAAATATTAAGTTAAATAAACTAAATATGTTCTACAAATAAAAAATATTGAATTTTGAAATTCAAAAAATGGGTCAATTTAACAATAGAATAATGGCAAAAAAGGGCATTTTCAGGAAAAAACAAGAGAATCTGTCACATTCATTTAAAGAAAGTCTATAGTATTCAGGTGGGATAAAATAGAGAGAAGATCTAAAATTCAAAAATGAGTAGTAAGCAAAGAATGTGGCAAGCATTGGGATAAATGTAAATAAACCTCTTCTTTAAAACAATAACAAAACCTGATGTGATTAATAACATTTTTTAAATAGACTAAACTCAATAACAATAGCATATGGCACAAGAAAGAATAAGGGAGCTAAAATGTTCTAAAGCATTACTTGGGAGGAAGAAAAGAGATTGACTAAATTTAGACTCTGTAAGTAAAGGATGCATGCTAAAATCTCTAGGATTATTACTAAAACATAGAAATAGAATATGTAACAAACTAGTTGAGAAAGGAATGGCACTAAAAATATGCAAGAAAGAGAAAAGAAACAAAGGGAGAATGGATAAAAAGTATAAAATGAATGATATAAATAAAAATGCATCAAGAATTACAATAAATTAAAGGGACTAGATGATCCAGTTAAAAGTCAAATGTCAGACTCAAGAGAGGGGGAAGGATAGGAAAGATAGGAAGGAAGTGGGGAAAGGAGAGAGGGAAAAAGAGGAAACAGTGACTATAAAAGTTGATTATGTTGGGGTCATCTCGGTGGGGTTGCAGAGAAGAGGGGTACCAGGATGATGAGGGGGTACAGGACACACCATTCTCCAAGGGCTTGAAAAGCTGAAGTGTACTCACCTGTGCCTTTTCCCTCTAACACTTGGTTTCTAAATGAAATCCCATGCAATTGTAGACCAGTGTTCCTTGATCTTTAAAAACCCATGGGATTTATTTAACTAGGGACTTATTTAAATGCGATTCTGACCCAGCAATTCTGGGGCAAGACCTGTGATTCTGTATTTCCAGCAGCTCCTGGATCTGGATTATACTTAGAGAAGTAAAATTAGAGGATATGATAAAAAAAATAAACATAAAAATAAAAAGGCTTAATTGCTCCACAAATAGACTAACAAATAAGGTATAGATGATCATGAGAAAAGCAAGGACAGGCCCAGGATCTGAGTGCAGGTCCAAATTTTAAAACCTTGAAGACAAAGTTCTTTTTGCTTGTTTGATTGGTTTTGAAGTTTGATGGCACTCAATAGCAGGCAACTCCTCAGTTGTTTAGCAGTTAGGATTTGGTGCCCTCAATTACCTGAACTGATGTGAGATCATCATTGTCTTTACCCACTGTGAATACACATATGTTTCACTGTACAAATCCCAGTGAAAAGTGTCACATCAGACCTTGCCTGTTAGTTTGCAAACTGGCCCCCTACATAAGGGCAAGAAGAGACCAAAGAAAGAGAAAGATAACTCCAGATTGGGAGGTGGCAGTTTCAACAAGCAAGGGAACTTAAAATGCTCGTCTCAGGCCACTAGACCAGTAGATCCTTGCACCTGCCCTCCAGAATTTTAAATTTTTATGCAGTGGTCTTAACTGGGCTCAGTCACATATACAATGGTCTCAGTGACACATTACCATTTCCAGACTGTGTCCCTGGGGCAGCTTCTAGGGTAGGGAAAACAGTGTGGAAAGTACATCCCAAGGAAAGCGAGGGGATGAAGAGGCTCTGATGACACAGGCCCAGCTGGAAGACGGGGAAGGGAAGGCACCCTACTGTCACCTCCTTGCAACAACCTGCTCCAACACTACTAAAGTAAAAATAAATTCTTTAGTTCCAAAATATACCTGTTCCCGAGGTTTTGGAGAACGGACTATGGACCTTTAGTACATTTCTTTCATTCTTCGACTAATTAGAGTGTTGTGGTCTTTTTAAAAACATTCACTCTAAAGTCTAAGAACGCTGGAAGCAGAGAGGAAAACAGAATTATTCAGTAGTACAATAATTATTCAGTCTCAAAACTGGTTTTTCAGGAAATTAAGTACTTAAATAAAATCCCAAGTCATTGCTCACTCGGGGTTTTATTTTTGTTACCTGAAGACAAAATAACACTGGCCTAATTTCAGCTTTGAAGTGGACAGTCACTGAGCATCC